TAATTTGTAAAAAAAATAATTTGTAAAATATAATTTTTAAAATAATTTGTAAAATAATTTGTGAAAAAAATAATAAGAAATACAATTTATTTTTTGAATTTTTACTTTATTAATTTTTAATTATTAATTACAAATATATTTCGGTTATACTCGTATAACAGTAATATGTACATATATATCATTTTCATCAATTTCATCAATTATAAATATAATTTTTCATTAAAATTAGAAACATATAAGGAAAAAAGAGATTGATCAGTTCTAAAATAAATGTCAATTTTATTTATAATATCTAGTAAAAGTAATACCTAGGAAATGAAATGCAGTTGATATTTATATTTTATCGTTTTTAATTGTTTAAAAAATATTTAAGAACGTTATTTTAGATCCTTTTGTGAAGGTACATACCAAATAGTATATAAGAGAATCGATATTAATCATCGTTCTCTTTTTCTTTCTTTTTCTCTGGAGCAATTTAATATATATACTTTTTGTTTAATTTTCGAGGAGAAACTTTTAAATGTACTAACGAAGTCGTCTGGCTTCTCTTTCAGATTCTAAGAGTGTTAGAATGTCTCCTTCTCGTACAGGACCTTTCACGTTCCGAATTAACTGTCTGTTTTGTTCATTCAAAAACTCCACTTTGACTTGCGTACATTGCCCTTGAGAACCCGTTCTGCCAAGAACTTTCACTACTCTTGCACGAACTATAGGTTTCTCCATATTTCTTGAAATTTCTGGATTTTCTTAGTTATTGCTCAATTGATTGCGATAGATTTAGAACGAATTCTATAAACTGCATTCAATTTCTTACCAACTTAATTATAAAATTTCTAATAGTATTTTAAAATATACTTCAAAAGTTGTTTGAAATAATGTAAGAAATGAGATAAAAAATATTAAAAAAAATTAATGTTATGAAGTTAAATACTATAATGAAATAAATAATTTATTATATTCTATAATATACTTATCTTAAATTGCAAGAAATGAAAAATTCGAAGATGTTTTGCTTTGGCAGCATTGCTAAAAGCAAGTTTAAAATAACTATTCCTCCATTAGATTCGTTGCTTTTACACCACGTGTTTCTGACGAATTCTTTTAGTTACAATTTTAAATCTCATATTTGAATAATGTCAATTAATGGTAATGAATATTTAATACGACTAAATTTTGAATAAAGATAACAACGTTATATTTTTACACATTATACAGATGCTTTTATTCATTTGTGCTTTAGTATAAATGTGTCATTCTTGGTTTAGAATACGAAATATTACATTTAAAAATCTTATAAGGATTTGCAATTTCCTCTTCCCGCGTGTATATTTGTTTTTTAAATTCTTTTGTCTGTTTTATGTATTTTTATTTGTTTTCGATGTTCATACCCACAAACGCACAATCTTACACACGTACCTATAATTTTTTGTTTATATAAAATTACAATACTTGAAAAAAGTGTCATGAATGTATGCGATATATGGTCGAACAATATGCATTGTACATTGTACATTTGAAATATGTCCTAAAAGCGAAACCGTCTTAATCAATTCTTTTATGCTGCGTGTCTATATGCAAATATGATAATATATTATTCAAATTCTTTTTTAGCAGCAGTTTGATAGTTTTGTTCGCAAGATGGTCACATGCAATTAAAAATTTTTTTGTTCACTATTACAGTCTCAATTCTCGAGAGCCTTGAACACAATACGCGTGGATTCGTATGAATTGAACTTAACATTTTACTGCTTTTACATCTATTAATTTTCAGTTACGTATGCGATTACGCAGCATTATAAAAAAAATCAAAAACTCGTAAAGAAATAAAAAAACAATTTCAATAATACAAATGAATAGTAAACGAATATTCAGTTTCAAATGAATCGGTCAATGTTATGTTTAAACCTTGGTTCTATATGTATACATACATACATACATATATATATATATATATATATGTATATATCCTATTTGTATGTATTACTTTTATAAGTAAATCTGTATTACTTTTATAAGTAAATCTGTATTACTTTTATAACTAAATGTATTAAGATTATAGATATAACTATGATACAATAGAATTGAGTTACTTCCAGATTTTGTACAGCTCACTTTCGTCACGTAATAAATACGAACCAAGATCTAAACAGGTAAGCAACATTTTTTTTTTAAATGAAAATAAATAATCGTTATACGTATCTGATTATCTAGATAATTTCAGTATCTTATTATTACCCCATTTCCATTTTAATTTTCTTATGTTTACATCATTTTATATATACATTTCATAAAATTTTATTCTCGTACAATCAAACAATTGTTTGATGATACTGAATCACAGACATTCCAAGTGTATTCCTAAAATGTATTCGAAATGAAATATAAATAATCATACACAATATTCAAATTCACAAATTCAGTAAAATTGATTTTAACATTGATGATTTGATTAGAGTATAATATTTCATATTAATTTCTTTGCAATGTTAAAAATAAAATGAGAACAAAATATTCATATGTATAATATAGTATATCGTTGTTTCTCATATAAATTCGATTAATTTATTTATTTATATAATGATAAATAAAAATATAAATAATAAATACATAACCAATCTAAAAATATGGAAATTTTTGGCCTATTTCTTTCTATTCTTGCTCTATATTTCATAATAGATTTTTTTTTCATATCACGATTTTCTCATTTAATATCCATTTAGTATATGAAAAAATAAATTATGCAATGATATTAAAATTCAATGAAAGTCCCAAAATTTGTAATTGATATAATTCTTAATTTTAAATAATTAAAAATGAATTTAAATTTCAATTTAAAATGATTAAGTAAACAGGAATTTTCTAATATTTTCTAGTACAAATTCTAAGCACTTAAAAACTTACAATAAGTACTGATTTAAGATTAAAAATATCTAATAATTATACATTATATAATTAAAATACAATTTATATTCATAATTAGAATAAAATAGGAATAACTCAACATCAAAGAGAATAATAATATATAATATAATAAATTTTAATAAAAAAGTGATAAATCTGATTTACAGTTGATATTGAAATATAAAAATATTTATGTAATAATTTTTTTTAATTGATTTAAAATTTAAAAAATTAAACTTAAATGTAACGCTATTAAATATTAATAATAATATTATAATAATAACATTATTATAATTATGTAATTATCTAAACATGTTTACGATTATTATGAAACATGATATGAGATCTAACTGTAAGTTAAAGAAGAAGTCTATCAATTTTTTATTTTCTTCTTTTTGTTCTCCAGTTACAAGTAAATAAATTTGTAGCAGTTAGAATAATGCATAGGCCGTGAACAAAAACTCCTGTAAAAGTTTCCAAAATCAGAATAATCTTTTTGTCACATTCTATTATATTTTTCTTCTTCTTCTTCTTCTTTTTTTTTTTACTTCTAATTTTTTTTCTTTTTTTAATAATATACTCCCCTCACCTCTTTAATTAAATGACTATTATAATAAATGTAACAATGTTCAGCATTCCAGACTTAGAAGCAAACGCACAGGCAGCTAGTGATTGGTCAGGTGTGAGCTTTTTTACAATATTATGTTTTATAATTTTTGTTCGCCTCTTAAATATTAGTTATTGAATTATCTATAAATGGAATGACAATATAGTAAGGATTGTTCGCGACCTTGATTTAGTACAAATATTCAGATATCTCGTTGATATATATACATAAATATCGGGCAAGATAAATTAATTTTTGGTGCTTCAACATGTTGGTTAAAATTTATTTTTGTCCGATATATTAAACGATTATTGGTCGTTTCTTTCGCTGATATATCTTCGAGATATCTTTTGTAGATTAAGTGAATATAACTATCGATGTAAATGTGAGAACAATAGAGGATCTATTCTAATCTTTGATTTGTAAATTTTCTATTGCTTATCTATAAAAAAAAGTCTATGTTATTCGCGTGATACACACGCGCTCGTTGGAGGGACCATGAGTCTTGAATGGGCCTAAGGCTCCTGGCGAGTTTGTAATAATTGGCTATCAATGTTGCATTTCGATAAAATACGTAGTACCAGCGGTGGTCTCTTTTCTGTTTATTATCAATGATTTACAATTTCACGCTATTTTTGCGTTACTCTAATTTATTAAAAATGCCTAAACTGTCTATGCGTACCATTTATCTGTGTTTTTTTATTGTTAGTCTCGTTTAATGTCATATGATGCATTTGGATGTTATATCTATATTTATATGCAAGAATGAGAGAATTGAAAATAATAAAAAAAATAATGAAATCGTATAGTGAATCTTCAGTTATCTTAAAAAGAATTAAAAACGACCGCTTAATGTCGATCAAGAGACTTATTGCAAGATATCATATCTGTATAACATAAAATAATCAATAAATCACATATTCTCAATATCTTATTCGAATTAATTGCTTTAACATTCCAAATTCAATATTTTATATTAATGTATAAATATATAAATTGAACTTGAGGATACATAAAATATAAATATTTGTTTAACTTTCCTTGTATTTAAATTATATTAATTGCAATTTATTATATTTAAAGAACACAATTAAGAGTGCAGGTTTTTTAAACTTCGATATTTTTAACAAAATTCAAAGTAATGAAGGATTCTATAATTATAATAGGTTTCTAAAAATGATTTTATGGTTTTGTCATTACATAATCAAAACACAAGCACATTTATGAGATGAGCTCAAATAAATATATAAAATCTTGATAGTTAAAAACAAATAAAAATTAAAATATTGTGTCATTTTAAATGCATATATGTTCTGCAATTTTGCTGAAATGTTCAAATTTTTTTATTTTCAATGAAAAAAAAAAAAATAAAAATTTAGAATCATAACCAGCAATTTCCAAAGATTTTAATATTTTAATGAGATTGAGATGAAACGAATACGATGATCTATTGATTATCGATTATATATATCGCTAGATATATCGCCACGTTTTAACGAAGAGATCGTAACTTCAGTCTCAGTACAAAGTAGGCGATCACTCTCAAAGTAAGCAGAAAACCTGTCAATGCAACCGCGTCCTGCCAAAAGACGGCGTTTTGCATCGACATTTCTTCGAGGAACTTCGTCGGGCTCTTGAAATGGCAGTACGCATCGGAACACTTGAGCTTAGCACGATTATAACCATACACAGAAATCATGGTGCCTTCAAAACTATATCTAACATAACTTACGTACGAAAGAAATTTTAGATACTTTGGAATGGCATCAAAATTAACGAAGAAACCGGAGAACAAAACAATTGGCACTGATGATACAGGGCCAATGAATACTCCAGTCTGGAAAAAAATTTTTTTTTATTAAATTTTGAAAAAACGATAAAAAATATCAAAAAATACAATAAAATAACATTATATATAAATGAAGTGTTACCTCCACACTCATCGCTGATCCTATCACTAAACCGATAGATTGAGAAACTAATGCTGTTAATATACATATAGTTAAATACATCATGAATCTATTTGTTTCCAATGGTTGCGACGTCATGAAATATACAATTATGACGTATGCTATAGAATATACTATCTGCAATGAAAATAATTGAAATGTATTAAAAATTTAAATGAATATACATTGAAAGCATGCATTAAAAATACTAACTTGAAAAGGTACATCGGCTAAAGTTCTTGCAAGATAATAAGCTTTTACAGAATACCAATAATTTAAATGTTCTCTTACAAATACTGCCATTTCTATTGGAACTATATTAAAAAACAAATTATTACATATTTAATTAATATATATAATAAATCCATAGTAATTAGTACATATAAGAATAAAAGATATAATTAACAAAGTTTAATTATCTATTATGCATTTTTTACTTACATGTAAGAATGGTAGGCATCATTGCGGTGAACATGAGAAACATTACGGTAAAGAAAACGCAGCCGGCATTGCTCATTACTCGTGAAGCATCATTGCCGATATCATAATAAATTGCACCAATGAGAAACCCAACAATTATATGGGAAATCAGCCTTACTCTCGTTAATGTCTACAATAACAAAGTATTTTTTGAGCGAAATATTTCGTATTATTACTATCGAATAACACATATATGTAAATATATTAACCATGTCTCTTATTTGTGACAAGAATATCCTTTTAAGAAGGATCCAAAATTGAGTCCAACTATTTGTTGGAAAGCCAACTTTTTGCTCAATACTTTCTGCACTATCCAATAAAGAAGTCGTGCAAGAAATTGGTATGTTAATTACTGTTCCGCTATTTGGTTGTTTTGCTACACCGTTTGGTATTAAAGCAGTTTCAGATTTTGTTTCTTGCTGCGGAGACTCCTTCGCGATATCATTCGATACAGTTTGCACTGCATTTATAGTACTTTGATAATGTTGATAATTAGCACATTTACCATTATTTACAGCCATAACTAATTTATGCACACATTCTCCATGTTCTCCACATGCCACTTCCATAACTAAACAAAATTATTTTTTTTTCTTATTAATAGATTTTGATTATTATTAAAAGCATTAATATAATTTTCATCTACCATAATCCGCTGGATTATGATAACTGGGACATTCCAAGCCCACTGATGATAGAAAGGGTACCAGCCCACCAACATTTCCTTGATATATACATTGGCCCTCGGCCAAAAGGTACAAATGATCAAACATTTCAAATAATCGTGCACTTGGTTGGTGTATCGTACATATAATAGTTCTTCCTAAAATACCATAAAAATAAACAACATTTTTTTATAATAATAGTAATAAATAACATATTATTAAATAACATTAAATAAAAATTTATTGTTAAATTACCTCCTCTACTTAATGATTTGAGCAAACTTAAACATTGATAACAAGTTGAACTGTCCAAACCAGAAGTTGGTTCATCAAAAAACATCACCGGAGGATTGTTAACAAGTTCCAACGCGATCGATAATCTTTTTCTCTGCCCTCCGCTAAGACAATGAGTTTGTGTATTGCTCGCATCGCTTAGACCAAGCGTTTCAATTATTTCTTCGATCTATATAAAGACGATTTTATTAAAATTGTTTAAAATGATTGTTTGTTTTAAAAGATTCGCCTTTAGCATACCACAATTTTTTTTGCTGTTGCGCTGATATCTTTTCCTAATTTCAAATTAGCAGAAACCGTCATTGTCTCATAAACCGTTAAATGAGGTAACAGACGGTCATCTTGCATTATATAACAAGACATTTTTCGAAATCTCCTAAGATTCCTATCTTTTCCATTTATCAGAACAGAACCGCTCAGATGAGATGTCCTGAAAATATAAAATATTACGATATTTTTTCAATTGTTAGCTTATTACATTACTTATAAATTGTTGGAAACACAACTTACTTGTATCCTGCCAAAACGTTCATAAGTGTACTCTTTCCAGCACCTGAAGGGCCCATGATTGCAGTCAATTCTCCGGATCGAAATTTTCCATTTACACATTTCAGAATTGTTTTATATCCTGTAAAATAAAATATTCGAGACATAAAATTTATATGCATAAAGTAACGCTCTTTTTATTCATTTACTTATTTTTTTTCGAGATTTACTATTTTCCATTTGTATATTTTATATTTCGAAAATTAGCATTTTTTTCCAATATTCACAATATTCGAGAAGAGATAATATAGAAATTTCATTTAATCACAGCTTTCACGAATACTTAGATTCTCTAGGTGACCTCTTTTAATTGTGAGTACAATTGCACCTCCAAGGTATATCTGGACCGAAACGAAATAGCTTGTACATATCTATTGATTCTTTCAGCTGGGTCATTGTTAAACATATTGAACAAAGTGCCTACCGAATATTCTTTCACGTGCGAATATGTGTATTGTTCTTGTTCGTTCTTGTAATACGTTATTTTTTTTTTTCGAAGACCAACCTCTTTTTCTGCCTTCTGACACGCTATACGCTAGATTCTTGAACTCAATGTCAACCGGTGGCCTCTTCGGTAAATGCGTTAATGTTACTGCCGGCCTTTTGCCATCCTGTCCTGGACTATGATTTGGTACTTTTCTTGCGAACATGCTATTGCTACACATTGAAGCTGCGGTACCATTAGATGCACTACCATTGCAATTGCAGTGAAGATTATTTTGCGAATTACTGAAACATACGAAAAAGATTAGTATGACGTTCAAAAAGAACATTTTTTTTTTAAATATTTAAAATTTTTTTTTAAACATTTCGAAGTATAAGAATTTCATTTTTAATAAATGAGATATATCGATACTTTCGATTCTAAATAATTAATCGAAAATAATATTTAAATCAAATTAACAAAGAATCAAACTCATTTTTGTTGTATATCAGTTTATTATTATATCATTTTCTTAAATTTTTCTTTTATGTTCCTATTTTTACAATTTTTATTACAGTTTTAAATATTAATAATATTAATAATATTAGTAAGAATAATTAAAATATAACTCTTGATATTTATTTATGATTTATTTTTTATTTTTGATTTATGATTAAAAATAAGAAAAATTTTTTGCTTTATCAAAATTTATTCTTTGACAAATGTTTGTGATGTATTTATAATTATTTATGTATTTATAATTATATAATTGTGATGTAAAATAAATTTTAGAAGCCCTGCGAATTAAACATATGGTGTTTGTAATTTAATCTTTCACTTACTTCTAGTTTTAAGGTTTCGATAAGAATAAGAATCGATATCGTACATGTATACTAAAAAGATAATCAATTAAATTTTTATGAACGAATTCAAGCAATTTCACGTAATTATGAATATATATGAAACTTATCGAAAATCTAATTAGTAGATTTTTGTTTATTTTTACTTTTTAATTATTTAATTTAAATATAATCTATATTTTTGTAATTTGAAAAATTAAATAATTTTTTTTCAAATTATCTAAATTTAAACAATTTTACTTTTATCAACGGCAAATTCAATGAAACAATCAGAAGGAAGCTTTGTAAAAGGCTTAAAGCGATCAATGGAAAGACCTTGAGATCTGTTTTAGTCGTATTTGGGATATATTAGTTCGCGTGTTCGATGTTCCCTTGATGACCACAGTTTCACTTATACATTGTCAGTAATATGACATATCTGATAAAATTGTTGTTTAGTTATATGAAAATTAAAATAAAATCAAGAAGAAATATCAGTAGAAATATTCAATGTATTCAAATATTAAAAATTCAATTTTATTTTCACCATTATTTTCATCATTATTTATTAATAATAATTTTTCTAAGCATATTGTTAATTATGAGAGACTATGATAATATATAAATTGTAAAAATTATATGTAGAACGTAAAGAATATTTGGAATGCGAATTTTGATTTAAAAACTTTAATTCAACAATATTATTTACATAAAAATTAAATACCAGTTTGTAGCCATTGAAAAGGCTATGAACGATCTTTGCAGTAGTCAATTTTTTTTATAGAAAGCTTTATATACAATACTGTTTATTATGCAAATATCAATATCAGCTATTATATTTTATCCTATTCATATAAAAATGCTATATTGATTCAAAGTTGACAAAAGTTTCAATCATTCAAAGAATATACTATTATGCTATATAAGCTTTCATTTTTTAAGAGAAGGATCCATATAAAAGAAACTATATTCAAAGTTTTGTATTGTTTTTCAATATATAAATTTCCTGCTGTACACGTGTACACGTGAATTGAAATTCATTCAATCTAACATATTAAATGTTTATTTTTTAATATGTCATCTTTATTAAAAATTATACCTGAGAACAGCATTATTGAGATTTTCCAAATGCAGGGAAGGTGGAGGAGATTTAATTGTCACCTGATGACTTCCACCTGGAATGAACTGTACTTGTTCATCGCCACTGTATCTAGATCCTCCTCCACCGGTCAAAGCAAGATTTTTTAAATCTGCCATCATCTCCTGATGCTGAAACAATCAATTAACCAATTGAACTCCTTCCAAGTATAAAAGTTTCATCGATCAAAACTTTTTTTTTATGATGTGATTAAGAGAAAATTGCATTTAATATTAATCTATTAAAAGTTAATCAAATTGTTATTGTTAATTGTTAAAAAGTAACATTTACTTTGTTAAAATTCATTTAATTGGTCAGATTTTTTTTTTATATAAAATTATAAAATTATTCTAATTATGTTACAAAATGAATAAAATTCTTTTTACACAACATTCTTTAAAACTTCTTAGAATAAATCTAAGATAAATACATACATTCAAAGCAAATAGATTATAGAACTATTGATTTGAATTAATATTATAACGAACATAATATTGTCTCTTGTTTTTAGTTATTGAAAATGTCCTTTTCTTTCTTTTTTTTTTTATTTCTTTTTCTTTTTTCTTTCTTTTTTGTTCCTTTAGTATTAATAAAAATGATATATTCTTAATATTTATTTGTCTAATTATTCAAGAGATGAATTAATCTTATATGAATCAATGAAAGAAACATTAACAAATATTAAATTCAGATATTTCTTTCTTTTTTATTTTAAATATATTTAATAATTTTATTATATATTTTTTTAAGAAAAAAAATATTATTTTTTATATATGATATAGAAAAAAATATATTTCAAGTCCACGTGTTACTATTGAAAGATATGATAACGCTCTTATAATTATCGGACAATATTATAACGACATATTACTGATCAAATACGATAATTGAATATTGTCTATTCAATGAAATAATTAAAAATTGAATATGATGAATGAGATAATCGTAACTTTTGAATGCAATCAGATTAAAGATTATGATATTTTTCAAAATATGTAAGTCAGAACACCTGTACATATCTTACAAAAAAAATATTTGCAAAATATTTATTACAGATGGTTAAATTTTAATTATTGATTTCGATCGATCAATCAATTGACGCAAACAATGTGACTAACAATTCGTAAAATTTAACATAATTTTTCACTTTTGACAAGATATTTACGTGTCTATATATATATATTCAAATAAAGTAAATAAAGTAAATAATTAATTTAATATAATTAATTATAAGAATAAATTATTAATTGATAAATTACAAATTTAATATTAAATATTATAGTTTAGATAAATAAAAATTATATAATATTTTTATTTCGGCCAATAAATTCATAGATGCATTATACTATCTATTAAACTAACGCATAAATCGGTCATGATCGTACCAGGTCAATGTCCATTGCATCTTCCGAGAAATATTTTTATTTACCTTTAAACAAAATTGATAATATTGAAGTCAAATTTAAATAAATATTTAAATGGACAAATAATGTATGTAAAATCAATTATGTTTGTTAGAATAATGATTCAATGTATACAACAACATATATTATATTATTATCATTTTTTCAATTTTGCTCAAAGTTTCGAACAATTTCACTTTCATGTATACTAATAATAAAATTTTTTTGCCAACAAATAAATTTAATCGTTTTTAAATATAATAAAATTGAAATAAAAAATATTAAAAATATTAAATTTTCTATATTTATTATTAAATTTTATTATTATATTTGTTATTAAAATTTAAACGAATTTCATTTTTTTTTATTAAATTATGTTATACGTGATAATAAGCAGTATAAAATATATATAATAAAATGCAATGAATGATTCAATTAGATGTAAATCTAATTTTTTTTTTTTAATGATTCTAAGTTCAATTTTAAGTCTAGATATATCAACTATAGAATTATAAACTTTAATAAATGCTGCTATAGATATTTATCGAACATGTGTTTTAACAAAAGTCACGAAAGTTAAATACAATAAAAAGAATTGAAAATAATTAAATTATTAATGATGATAATATGAAAAAAAAATTAACATTACTTACATTTGAAGTTATGAATTTTTTAATATAATAGTTATTGATATTTTTATTTTGTTATTTTCAAAAAATGTATATTTTTTTGTATTTATAATAATATTAATTAGCAATGAAAAAAACAAGAAAGCAGATATATGTTATTGCAAGACAAAGAAAGATTGTTAAATCTTTAAGTAGAATAAGGGCTGTGCAAACAATGATTAAGTGAAAGATTTGTAAAAGTGTATCATCTAAATAAAATATAAAAAATTTCTGTCCTTAAATAATTATAAATAGAATATACTCACCATCGGTCGAAGGTAAATTTAGGTATCCAAACGGCGTTCGAAATCATACCCTGATGATGACACTGTGCATCCTCTATCTCTCCGCCCTTTCTTCTGACGCTTCACCATGCACAGTAATCGCGTTTGAAGAAAGAAATAATGATCACAAAAATTACAATAAAGTGAAAAGCAACTAAATAGGCCGTAGTGAATTGCTATGATGTGCTTTTAATCCTTGTCTTCGCTTTTCTAATTATTAATAAGGAATTTTTCGAATCGCAAGGCGGTATCCGTTTTCGAAAATAATATTTAATAAAGATTACAATCAATTATGTTGTGAAAAACACGTATAAATGAAAATCGAAACGCGAAGCAGCTAACCGATTCGCAGTATGAACTGCAACTGACAGCGAAGAGAAACGATCAGACGACGCAACACTGTCCAGAATCAGCTGTCGTGCTATGCACCATCGTTCGCCTCTACCAACCAAATGAACTGAACTGTCCAACTCGAAACCAGGGACGACTATAATCATTGGAGCCCTCTCCCACTTGCATGTTTCTTCTATCTCTTGGTCTTGAACCACGCGATCAGATTTATTAAGCGTTGCGCGTTTTACGTTATTCTTTTATTACTTATGACTCAGGATATTTTTTTTATTATTTGTAATTACTTTTAATAAAAATAAAACATAAAATAAAAATGCTTTTACTCCTCTCTTGTTTTTTTTTTTGATTTTATGTAATGATAATTTTTTAAATAATCATAATTTCATAAAATTCAAAACAAATAAACAATAAATAGCAAACATAAAATAAGATTTAGGACATTTATCTCTTAATAATTAAACATTTAGATTTTAAATTCATCGGTTTAAAAAATTATATTTAATTTTTTAAAATACATTTACAAAATCTTATATAAGAATACATCAAATTAAAGAAAAAAGAATTATATAATTTTACTGAATATTGTTTTTCGGAAACAGGACAATTTAATATACTATAATGATAGGAATAAATGAAATGATAGAATATCTGTTTGTAATTTATATGCATGATATGCAACATAGTTTGAAGGTTAAACATTTTTTTTTTATTGAAGAGTAATATATGTTTACAAATTAAAGGACAAAGGTTAAATAGAATCTTAATGCGCGCATTAAAAAGTTTTGTAGAGTTTCAAAAGTTCGGCTGTAGGGCATAATAATGAAATATTACGTTCCTGCTTTTCTTGCGCATGCACAACAATGTACTACATCGTTATAGGGTCGAAATTCCCGTAGACGGTTCCGTAAATTTCGTCCTCGACGAAATTTATATTTCATCTCGTACAACAGAGAAGGGGCAATACAGGAAAAGAGAAAGAAGCAAATTATATTAGAAGAATCGAGACAGAGAATAGATGGATGAGGGATAACTTTCAAGAGGAAGCAGGAAAGAAACGAATAAAGGAGAAGGGAGAATGAGTTACCACATACTATGGGTCGATACTCTAGTACTAGCTTGATGTTCGGTACTAGTGTACTTGTACATCTGAGTACATCTGCACCAAGAAATGCGTTTGACTCATCGCAAGTGCGAAGAAAGAGAGAGGGTTAGTGCACTCAACGATGCCAAGGGCTGCTGCACTTGTGAATGAACATCGAAGTTTAGTTTTAGTTTTTTTGCAAAATATAATATCTGCTTGCATTTCCATATATATTTCAAGCGCTTTCAAATGTTATTTTGTATTTATATCAAAGATAAATATATCTAAATATATATATATATATTCTTCGATAATTATATAAGACGAAGATTATTATAACACTTTCTCTATTTTTTATAAATATTTTTCATACTAGAACAAGAAATATATATTTTTTTTTCATAATTCAAAAAAAAATTATAAAAAAAAAAATCACATTTTTTTTCTTGTTATAAAATTTTAGTATGTATATATATGATCTTTTGTTTTCGCTGACGCCATCCTAGAGAGCGCATCAAATTTCATCCTGTTTTCTACTTTATCTACCTATTTTTTTCTACCTTATCATAAAATCATAAAGGATATTTATCATAAATTGCTTAAATTTTTATCAGATATTTAATACATTAGTACAAATTTAATGTCATTTTTACAATATGAAATGTATTCGAAAATTCATGCAATTTATTCTATTAGCAAAATAAAATATATATTTTGAACGTAACTAAATTATAGAATTTTCTACATTAAGCATCGATGAAATTCCAATGATAGATTATCTTTTGTTTTAACCAGTTACTGACTCATTCACAATCAGAAGCAGACTAGGAATGTAGATATACTTATATAGATACATCTTGTTTTCTTAGTAGAGGGTGAATATACATATTTCTTTGAAGAAAGACAATTAAATGTTCTCAAAGAATATTACATAGAGAATTTATAAATTTATAAATAATACGTAATAATATATAATCTGTATACATAGTTGTATACATAATTGTATATATATCTATAATATATCTCTTATATATCTACAAATAATTGTAACAAAAAAAAATTAAATTTCGTCCTTTTTTGGAATGTATTAAAATGTTTTGAAGATTTAGATATTAATATACTCAAATCGTATAATATCACACATTAAATAACAGATTTTAGAGAAGAAATTACTTGGTAAATCTATGATTGTTACTATTCTTATCGTTTTTAATACATGTGAACAAAGTCTGCAATAGGAGTATCCTTTTTTTGCGTCATTTAGTCACGTTTTATTCCGCTGAAAGTGCTATAGCATGTATGATACACATGTACCAAATCAAATAATATATTTATACTGATCCGATAAGTGTATCATAAATTAAATTACTAAATATTTTTTTTCATGAGAATATTTTTTTTATTGCGAATATATTGCACATGGCAAATCGAATGATGTACTTTTCATTGATATCGTTTATATAAACAATTAAGTATAATCAGGAATGTTCTGTCAAACCAATTTTTACGTAATCGATCTGTCTTTTATATTCTATTTTGAGAGAAGTCTAGAACTTATTGCTACATTAATTACATTGTGCATTAAATTATGTGACAAAAACAAATAATAACAAACTAATAGTTTCATATTGATTTTCAAAAATTTTATATT